TTTTAATGTTTTTCACCTTAGCCATAGAGAAATGCATAGTGTCTCGGGCATAGATTTCCAGTAATTTTAGGTTTGCAACCTGTCCAAAGATAGAAACCCGCGTGCTCTCAATGCTCACTTCACTTTCAGGAGCTGTTCCGATTATGGGTCCACGAATCTGGAGGTCGCAAGCGTCGGATTTCTTGGATACGAGAAGCAGCTTATTCTCGACGAATACCGTACCTTCGATGAGGATTTTCTCACAAGACATGGCGGTAGCATCGTTATCCTCGCAAGGTTTCAACCTTAGCAGGGAGTCTTTTTCAACAATCACATTTCGGCAAAAGATCTCATTGCTTCTGAAGATTTGATAAACGCCAAAGCTGAGATTCGAACCCTCAGCGGCTATAATGCGACTATCCAGGCTACCCTGTCCTGAAATGGCGACATGCTTAAAGGTCTCGGCTACTTTCACCCTTCCGCACTTCAGCACTCCATCCAGAACTATGACCAAATGGCTTGCAGTACCATTTATTACAAGGGTGTTTATGTTAATGTCAGCTTTTTCCGTGACCTTGAACCTAACGGGTTCAGGATTAGTATGGTCTCCTCCAAGGAGAATCTCCAAGCGGTCCAGATCCATACAAGCATTGATAGCTACGGAGTTCTGAGCAGCACATCCCACAGCGAATTCTTTGATCTCATCGCAGATGTCAGTGGATATGATGAGATCGCTTCTGGCAGAGAAGGAAAGCATTTTCTCATTCATAAGTTTATGCACATCATTTAGCGCCATGTCCAGTTTATTGGCATAAAGATCGAAACCTTTTTTGGCCTTGATTGATCCACCCAACTTCGTCCATTCCCTAGTGGCAGAGAGCAATTTGATATGATTTTTCGATTCCATGAGTCCATCTTCGTTGTGGAAATTGTTTAAGCGAATATCCATCGACTCCACAGCAAAGATTCTGTTCTTATTTTCCAAAACACCATCCCCAGTAATGTTTAGAGCATTGCAGGCTAGCGTACCCTCATTCAAGAATAACTCTTCAACAACCATATGGCAATTCTTCACGTGATTCTGCTTATGTTCGTAATTCGTCAGCCTTCCCTTGTGAACCATTGATCCCGTCAGGATGTGTACATCTTCAGCTTGGAATCTGATTTGTCCCTGATGGTAAAACGTTGAGGCGCAGATTATGCCTTCAGCTCTAGGATTTTCGCCCATTGAAAGCAGGGTGCAATTCCTTCCTGTCGCAAGAGCTCCAGCTGAGACCAGGATGTTAAAGTCAACAGCAGGAGTATAGGAGACAATTCCGCGTAATCGTACAATTGAATCTGGAGACAGCTCCACGGCTAAGAATGGGGCAATAATAGCGTGAGCATTTAGTCGTCCATCAAGTATAAAAGCTGGGAACGGGTGGGGTGATGTGGGGGCAATATTGTAGAAGGAGCTATTTCCTTTGAGTGTTAGCGGCGAAACCAGGATGTCTACTTGACCAGTCACAATCATTTGGGATTCATCCATGTATGGTAGGTAGACTTCCACTTCATTAGCTTTCAGATAGCCGTCATATTGACAACGTCGCAGGCATCTAAATCAATCAATTATCGATTGGAGTTTGCCCACTTTAAAGAAATTTGCCCACCTCATGTCCAGCTTACTACAGACGATTTTTCCACCAAAACATCCAATGGAATCACGATGGATATGCATTTCCAAGGATTGTTTGACGAACATTGTACCATCTTCAGACTGTTCCATACAACCGACAATGATATGGCAATCTTTTTCTACCTAGAAAGAAAGAAAAGTTTTTTAAAAGATTCAGAATCTCTTGATTGTAAATATATTTTGAATATTTTCCGACTTATTTATTTACAATCTAAACTATTACCTGCCAAAGTGCATCATTTCTGAATGATCCAACAGTAAGATTAGC